ATCGTCTCCCTCTCTCTCTCTATCTCCCCCTCTCCCTTTTCACCGTCTCTCTCTCTCCCTCTCCTCTCTTACTGTCTTTCCCTCCCTCTCCTCTCTCACTGTCTTTCCCTCCCTCTCCTCTTTCACTGTCTTTCCCTCCTTCTCCTCTCTCTCTGTCTCCCCCTCTCATCGTCTTTCTCTCCCCCTCCTCCGAGATTTTTCGCCCTTGTCCGAGAAGACTACCAGCAGATCAGGGGTGTGGCTGAAAGACAGCAGTAAGAGGGAGCCAAAGAGTAGCCGTAGAAATGCTGCAGAAAGAGTCAGGAGCCCAGAAGAGAGGGCAAAGGAGGTGAGGGGATGGGGGCATGAAAGTGGAGGTGAATGAAAGCAGACGACAAAACATTGCTTGAGAGCAGGAAAGGAGGTGAAAGGAGACAATTTAGAGAAGAAAATTTTCCGTCGCAACCCAGATTCGAACCCGGGACCTTTGAATATTGAATGAGAGACCTTAACCTCTAGGCCAAACAGTGTAGGCCTATGATATATCATAGCAAACTTATAGCTGGGGATCAAGTGTACATGACACTGTAGCTAATGATAAACCGATGAGATCACTTTATTTCATGTACAATGTATTGTGGATTACCAGTTTACGTCAACCAAATAGACAGGTTTCCGTTAAGGCAGGTTCGACTGTACATGCACATTGATTAGATTAATTTAGAAAGAACCTATTCTACTCTAGCTTCTCGCAGTCTGCGCTAGGGGGAGATAATCGTTAATTTTTTGTTTTAGGCCATAAAAAATAAAATATACAAATGGTCCGATTTAACTGTGTTCATTTTAGGCCACGAAAAGGTATTTTTGTCTTCCCTTCTTTTCTCCCCCCCCAAAAAACTTTTAGAGCATCATGGCTGACGTCAACTTTGTAAGGACCCCCCCCCCTCTGAGCCGACGACATTTATTGTGAACGGTCCTTTACTAAACTACAATTGAGGTCACGTGATATCACCAACTGAGGTTACACATGATGATATTGTAGTTTTGAGCACAACGGGGCTTTCCCGAAAACTGTTGTTTTGATGAGAAAAACGACGGTAAAGTTTCTGCCTTTTGTTCAGTTTCTTTAAAAGACAAGGAGAGTTTTGTCTAGTATAACCAAACAAACATACACACCTATGAAACCAAACTTCTCCTATAGATAGGGCAATACCAAGGAGTTTAGAACTAATCTTTTAATCTCCTTGGGCAATACCCATTTTTGGTGCGTGTCAAGATTTCTGCAAACCCCAAAAATCTGGGTTAGCCCGCTTGTCCTCAAGAACGACCATATTGTATTTTTAACTTATGTTACCTTTCACTTCCAAGGCTAGAGTTGTAGTTGTAGTAAGACGTAGATCTAGATCTAGAGGGTCCCCGGGCGCCCGGCGACTGCTGCGTCTTGTCTGTACTCTCGGCACGACTGACGCTCTTTCTTATACACCGTGGAGTGTTCAGTGCCCGGACGACCTAGTTTGTACTCACCAGTGCACGTGGACAAACTGAAACACGTGCACAATCAGCTGGCCAGAAAGTCGCCCCCCAAAAAAAAACAAAAAACAAACAACAACTGGTCATGTTTTGGGGACACGATGGGCTAAAATATCGGCCCTACAATATCACCAGACTGAGGTCACGTGATATCACCAGACTTGTTTGTTTTGTCTTAGTAGAGGTTTTACGGCGCTCGCAACTGCATAAAGTCATATGAGCGCCAAGGGGTGGATGTCAACAGAGAAGTCCTTACAGGGAATCAGACTTACTCTGCTCACCTCTCTAGCCTC